CAGTGCCAAAAATAAAATAATAAACTCTTTATACTTCAAAGGAATTGTTTATAGAGCTAACTATAGAATATGAGGAGTTGAAGGAGGGGCTTATCACTTCCCTTAATGTCTTTGATTCATTCTTCAAGCCATTTCATTACAGCATTAATACTGGAAGGTAGTTTCATTTTGGCAAATGAAATTCTCTTTTATGGGAGGCTATTTTGCTCATCTGCTTCCAAAGTTCAGTCTCTAACTTTAAAAAAAGAAGGTTCAAAATTATCACAAATCTCTTTTAATCATTTCACTGGAAGCGTGTGTTTATTCACTTATTAAGAAAAAAGGGGAAGAAGAAAAAGCATCATCAGAAAACAAGGATGGGCTTAGTTATTTGGATCATTAAAACAGTTGCTAGCTTTCAAGTCCTGCATGACCCTTCCTTAGGCTAGGCAATAAAGAGCTGGGAGGGATGCTGAAGAAACATGAACGTTCCGGAAATGAGGGTCAGACAGATGCCAGGGGCCTTTGTTTAAAGCAGGGCTCAAAACAGGTTGAGGGTGTAATGAGGGTGAAAGAAGAGAGTGCAAAAAATGGCCTGAAACTCAACATCAATGGCCACTGGTCCCATCACCTCCTGGGAAATAAAAGGAGAAGATATGGAGGCAGTGACAGATTTTATTTTCTTGGGCTCCATGATCACTGCAGATGGAGACAGCAGCCAAGAAATTAAAAGACGCCTGCTTCTTGGGAGGAAAGCGATGACAAACCTTGACAGCATCTTAAAAAGCAGAGACATCACCAAAGTCCGAATAGTCAAAGCTCGGTTTTTCCTGTCGTGATGTATGGAAGTGAGAGCTGGACCATAAAGAAAGCTGACCGCCGAAGAATTGATGCCTTTGAATTGTGGTGTTGGAGGAGACTCTTGAGAGTCCCCTGGACTGCAAGGACAACAAACCTATCAGTTCTAAAGGAAATCAACCCTGAGTGCTCACTGGAAGGAGCTGAGGCTCCAGTACTTTGGCCATCTCATGAGAAGAGAAGACTCCTTGGAAAAGAACTTGATGTTAGGAAAGTGTGAGGGCAAGAGGAGGAGGGGACGACAGAGGATGAGATGGCTGGACAGTGTCTGCGAAGCAACCAACATGAATTTGACACAACTCCTGGAGGCAGTGGAAGATAGGAGGGCCTGGCGTGCTCTGGTCCATGGGGTCACGAAGAGACGGACACGACTAAACGACTAAACGACACGATGGCAAAACAGGAGCTACGGAACCATCTTGCAGGTAGCACATTTCAGATTTCAACTGTAGCAATATGGATTAGATTGTCCTTCTCAATTTTGTGAAACGAAGAACTGCCATTCATACAGCAGCCCGGTCTCCCTGCAATTTTATTGCCCACCCTGGTTTTTGGATTGTACACTAGGGCTTTTAGCTTTTTCTCTTGGCCTATGGATGGTACCTTTGAACAACTGACCAGGGCAATATTGACCACCAAGGAAGTCCTTTAACATTATCCAAGTAGGACTGGAAACTGAGGACAACCTCCTGCTCCAAACACTAGATAATACTGTATTTGCCGGCACACAAGGTGACTGGCCGTATAAGACGACCCCCCCAACAGGAGGAGGAGGAAGAGGGGAAACGGGGGGGTGGCGGGCGAGCAAGCGCACAGCTGGCTCAGCAGCGCGGGGCAGCAGGCAGCCCGGCAGTGGCTCAGGCATGGCAGCAAGAGGGTGAGGAAGAGCAAGAGGCTGAGGAGGAGGAAAAGGGAAACGGGCGGGTGGTGGGCGAGCAAGCGCGCGGCTGGCTCAGCAGCACAGGGTGGCGGGCAGCCCGGCGGCGGGCTCTGGCCACTCAGGCATGGCCCATGGCCGGCTCTGCTTCCCTCCCTCCGTCTGGATTGCCCACCTGCCTGCCCCCTGGGGTGGGGGCTAATGTAGGAAAGGAAGGGGGTGTGGGGGTAGGCTGTTAGGGTGGCAGGCTGTGTATGTGTGGGGGGTGGCTGACTATCAACTTCTGATCAGATGATCAGTGGCTGGTAGGCAGAATGGGCCTTTGTGCCATGTGGTAAACTCTCCTGGGGGTACCCAATTTGTGGGTAAATAACTTGGATGTCTGATATCAAATTTTCACCATAGTTAACAGGTACGTTGGGGAAAGACATAGGAAGCTCTGTTGTGATCTCTAAGTACCTGGGGGAGCTTTCCTGGGGGGGGTCCTCTTTGTGACTATATAACCCAGGAGTCCATGATCCAGTGTTCACCACACTTTCAGAGCTTGTAGAAACGTGTCTGAGGAAGCTTCCCTGCAAATTTCGTGTCTCTAGGTCATTGGGGGCCAGTGTTATAGCCCTTTAAAATGCAGATGAGTCAACAGATCCATTTGTTGAAGAATATTCGTATGTTTGTATTTGATGGTCCGTTAACCTTGACGAATAATGGATCAAAACTAATCGCCATTTTTTAAATTGTCCCCATCTCTAGTAACAACGTATTGGATTTTAATGGATTTATCAGTCATAGGCTGAAATACTGTTCATGCTGTAAGCCAAACTGTAACTTTCCATCTGTTCCTCCTTTGAAAACAAAACATCTCTGCCACAATCCTTTGGGGAGTGTGCATATGCTGGTTTGGTGAGGCACCACCAAGAATTGTAGTGGGGATTCTTTGTTTACCAGGGAGGAATACACTGTAAGATGTGACTTGGCTTCACCACTAGCTGTACTGTAGCTGGGGTTTCTGAGAGTTGCAGTCAGGAAGAACTGGGTTACCCAAGGTTGGCAACCACTGGCTTATGGTATAGACAGGATTTGAGCCATAGAATAATAAACACAAGGAGAATGTCAGACAGGAAAGAAAACAGAGCAAAAGCAAAAACAGAACAACAACAAAAAAACTATAAAGAAGACAAAGACATTGTGGCACCTTAATGTGAGCTTTCGTGGATTACGTCCACTTCTTCAGGCACATATGTGCTCTGTAATGGACATACATTGTTGATGAACGTGATGCTCTTATATATAGGAAGTGGACTTGATCTGCAAAAGCTTACATTAAAATATAGCAGTTGGTCTTTAAAGTGCCACAATGTTTTTGTCTTCTTTCCTTTTTTTTGTTTTTGCTTTGTTACTTGTTTGACATGCTTGCACAGATGTGCATGGCTACCACTTCAAAAGGTACAAGTAGTCTGGGAAGCTATTCATATCTGTGATGAGGTTTACCCAACTGCTGGTTCCACAGTTGCAGGAAACAATTAATTAAAGTCATTAAAATAATACTATCAGCGTCATAATTAAACACTGCACCCAAGCATGGCTTCTGACAGAGTTATTACTTTTCAAGGACTACTTAACACAGCTAATGAAGATTTTCCTACTGATACATTGCTATGCTGGAAAAAGGCTTGAATATTCAATTTCTCTCTGTAACACAGATGTTATAAGCATGGTGGAGAGGGGAATGCAGAGAGAAGCGTGAGAAACACCCATTCAGGATTGGGTTTATATGAAATAAGGCAACACATTTCACTATGAGTGGCAGAGTTTAGGGAGGATGCTGCTTTCTTGCCTCTTTCTTCTATCACTGTGTGCTGAGAGAGCAAGAGCTACAGAGCAGGTCAATCTAGAGAAGAGACTGATTTGCTCCTGGCAATAAGGAACAGTCGTCAAGGTTCTGCTTCCAGCTTTCTCCATATGGTTTTTTTATGGTTGCCACTCCAAAAATAAAGTCTCAGGACCAATTCAGAACACTATAATTTCACATGAAACCATTATAAGTATGACATAATTGCTGAGAAGTGCACATGTGTTGACCACAACAATAATACAATGCTAGACTATTCTAGGGCATTGAATAATAGTATAACAGCAGGACATCATCAATGCCAATAGGAAGAGCAGCTACAGCTAATCCTCTTCCTCAGTAAGTCAGATAGCCAATTTCATCTCCTCATCCAGCAGAAATAAACAGGAGGAATATTTAGCACCCGTGGAAATGAGGGAGGGGCACTAGGGATATCCATGCTGATAATCCCCACATATCCACAGCCAGCCAGGACTGTGATATGCCCACCACATCTATCACAGTAAAAGCCTTCTGTTACCAATGCATAGATTCCTTGGCTAACTAGATGAAATAGGAAGTTTTCACTTAAAAAGCAAAGATTGCTTTAAGTTAATGAATGAGCTTTCAAAGAAATGTCAACTTTTCTAAGAGGGCTTTGGGGATAAAACTGAAGCTAGTGGGAAGCCAACTTGTTTTTACCAACAACCAACATTTTTTATTTGCGTGCTTCAGAATCAACAAACCAAGATCACTGGAAGAACTACAGTACCTCTCACTAGCATATGTTTAAATGGTTTCCAGAATAAATCTATTTATACATACTTAGAAGTAATGCCACTAAGTTTAGTGGAGTTTGAACCTAGTGTGTTTAAGGCCACATCCTTAATTTGTTTCAGAGCACTGAATAATAGCTTGAATGTTCCTAAGCCACAATTTCATTGTTAAATCATTTCTCATATACCTGTATGTAGATATTAATTATACAGAAATGCTCTGTACTGTTCCAAAAACTACTTACTGTCTTCTGCTGTTACCATCAAAGTCCATTTGCTGTATATATCCCCATAGCCATTGGAAGCAATAACCCTCATCTCATACGATGTATATGGCTGCAGATCTGTGACTATATGACTTAAAGAAGCTGTAGGTTTGGAGATTAACCTGCAGTTTAAGAAAATACAAACATAAACAGAAGACACTAGAGAGGAGGAAAATACTACATACCATATGTATAAGCACATACATGTACAGTCAAAAACAATTTTACATTTCTTTGCAACCTAGGTAGTTTATTATTTACTTACTCTAGAATATCTTCTGGGGAATGCTTAGGCCTCATTTGGAGTCGGTAGCTGGGTAAGCCTGGAGCATTGTTGCGAACTGGTATAGACCAGACAACTTGAAGACTGGTCGGCATGGCAGATGAAAGCCTGGGAGGCAACATGCCATCTGGAGCTGTCGAAAAACATGGATGAATTAGAGCAGAGAAAAATGTGGGCGACATATGCTGAATGGAATCAAAATGCTCCTTACACTGGAAAAACTGTTCCTAAGGATCAGCAGCAATGTAATCATGGTCCATTTAATGCAACATCTTTTCCCTCATTATTGCGCTGTTGTGTTATATGCTTTCCAGTGCAATACCATTATCATAGTACGTATGCATATGCTCAAAACTATATCCTGATAACAAAAGGATTTGAGATGCAATGCACATCTTGTCCTGCTTTCCACCCCATCATCTAACTCATTCTCCCCACCACCACCACCACAAACACATACACTTCACCAGGACTGTTAGCAGATTGGCTCAAATAATTAAAGACTAAGAGTGAAAAGAGGCATCCATTTTCTGAGTCGGCAGCAACTGTAAACTAGGCTCTGACCACATATGGAGTCAGCCGTTCGTTGAGTTCCCGCCATATGGTGAACCAAGCATCACTCCAAGCAACATCACAATGCCTTTCGTAGTGTGTGGTGCAATTTCGTACTCTGCATAGCATCTTCGTTGAAAAGTGGACCTGAAGCCTTACACAAACATAAATCAGCCATAGAATTCAGCCAGTCCAGTCCAGTAAAATACAATACAATAAAGGATATCAACTATTCACCAGCCAGTAAATACATTTTAATCTGACATAGAAAGGAATATGATGTCAGTATCCGTGCATATCTGCTTTGGAAGGCATTCTGAAGATGGAGCATCAGCTTCTGTTGGAACCCCAAAGAAAAGACATCATCCGTTTTGTAAAATGCTTAATGTGATTCTATTGATAAGGCATAGAGTGGAGTCCCCCCTGAAGATTCCAGTGCACAAATATGTTGATATGTATATATATTCATCCCCAATCCTTAAGGTCTGCCAGGATGACTCTCCTCTGTGTTTCACCACTGGGAGGGGTTCTCCATATGAAAACTCAAGGGAGGTTCAGCTTGGCTTTCACACCAAAGCTGTATACAAAAGGCACATTTGTGTCCCATTCATCTAATCCTCAAAATGTGGAGAGCTGTTGGTAGTAGATTAGTTTCAAACCTCTGTTCTTAAACCATTGTTTATGAAACTTGGACTGAAAACTGAGGACGAATGATCTTTTCCTTAACACTCCACTCTTCTCTTCCCTTTGTGTGTTTCATTCCAGGCTTTTATTAACCCAGAGTTCCATATTAACTAAGTCGGGAGCATGAAAGCTCAGTTTCCTCATGATTCCAACCTGAATTTTTTCGTGGCATAGCCCTCAAAACAATGAGTCAGTGGGTCTACTCTAGTGTGATTTATTATGCTAAGCAACAGAATTTTAGATACAGTTGTGGAAATAAAGGGGTGGCAGATTAAAGGCAATTAATGTTTTGCTCCATTTCAAACCACAAGTGACATTTGGACTAAATACATATATTGTTTAGAGAGTGGACCAGGTAGGATATTCCTAATGCATTAAATTTTGCCTACCATCTATATATTTATTATTTCTGAAAATTGAACACAAAACTACACTCTAAAGGATTCAAGTACTTTGTTAGGATATCCACTGGACAATAACCAATAAGGTGTTCGGTAAAACCAGTCATGTAGTCATTAAAACTGTCAAGTGCTTCCCAACCACTGATCACTTGACCATAGACCAAACACCTACTGATCATTCAAAAATAAATAAAGCATCTCACCTATCTTTAATCACTGCAATCCTTTAGGAAATATTTTCCTCTTTCCTCTCTTTAGTCCTAACTTCTTCTCCAAGGAATTGCTTTGTACCCAAGCATTAATTAGAATGCAGCAATAATTTCTCTGCCACATTCTTAACAGAACAGCCATGTACCTATCAGGGTGATATATTGTCTGTAACAAGCAGCGCTATTCAAAATGCTCTCCTCAAGGTTTAATACGACCCTCAGGAGGCAACCACTCCACCAGTAACTTACTGAATCAACACATCTTGTCCAGTAAATGCTCAATTAGCATGGTGAAATGGCATGCTGTAATTATAAAGAAAAAGTACAAAGGATGAAAAGAATTACAAAACTGAGCTCCATCTCTATGTTATAACATAAGCAACCAACACATGCATTACCCATCAAACTGATTGGTGCATATTCTTTGGAGATTAAAGTGCATTTAAAGAAGATAAAAATGGGATGGGAAGAGATGTGCATACCCCTTTGAGCTCTTCTGAGGCATAATAGGAAATAAACGCCGTATTTTTCTGTGTATAAGACACTATTTTTTCCTAAAATCGTTATACTAAAAATTGAGGGGCGTCTTATACATGGAAGTAAATTGAGAACAAAATGGCCCCCCTAAAATCGTTATACTAAAAATTGAGGGGAGAAGAGAACAAAATGGATTCTGCAAACAGGCTTCCTTCAGTCACGAGTCTGAGCTTCCTATAGTCAGGAGACTTATGGAACTGACGTCAGCTGATGGTGAATAAACCATTTGAAACACACCTCATTGGAGGTGGCGTCTGTAGGCTCAGATGGAACTGGGACTCGTAATGTCTGAGCATTCTGAGCCCAGAGGCTGAATATTCAAAGCTAAGTTTACTAATGTTGGGGTTAGAAAAGTGGAGGGGGGGTCTTATAAATGGGGGCATCTTATAAATAAAAAAAGGTAAATAAATAAATAAACTAGTTCTGCTCTTCATCAAGTCCACACATCTATTGCTAAATCATCATTGCATCTTGTTCCACTTTCAGTCCCAAACTTACAGGTCATTCTCTAAATATGGCTACCTTTGTCAAGTGCCGCCCAGAGACCTCTGGATAGAGTGGGCGGCATATAAAATGAATGAATGAATGAATGAATGAATGAATGAATGAATGAATGAATGAATGAATAAATAAATAAATAAATAAATAAATAAATAAATAAATAAATAAATAAATAAATAAGTAAATAAATAAGTAAATAAATAGGATGTGATGAGGTTTCCTGACACAAAGCCACCACCATCATACCAAATGGCATACTGCACCTCTATGCGACTAAGTGACCCTATTTAGCCCAATCCAGCTTCATTCAATTTGGCCATCTAGCTGTTCCCTTAGCTTCATCCATCTAGGTTCAGGGTTTCACTTGCTTAGCTCTCTGAATCTAGAAGTAGTCCAGATTTAAATTCCCATATAGTCAACAGTATTTATATTGTACTAGTAGGACTTCCCATGTTCAATATTTCTTACATGGTGTGCAGGTATATCATGGTTCCTTCCATGCTATGAGTATATGTACATATTGAATTTGCTAACAGAAAGAGTGCACGGGACTGAATGAGTTTGTTCTTGAAGAACAAATTCAGAGATGCCCCCACATTTAGGACAGAATAAACATCTGAGGCTAGGAGAAAAAAACACCATGGGATAACACCTGCTTGTTACCATAATGGCCAATTAGATATAATGTGGGAAATTCATTACAAAGTACTTATAGGGAAAGGAAAGCTCACTTGATTCCTGACTTATATAATCCTTTATAATATACCATATTTTACTGTGTATAGGACACCCCCATGTATAAAACACCCCCTTTTTTAACCCAAAATTAAGAAATCTAAGTGGGGCTTAGCAAGTGTAGGGGGAAAGGGATCAAAGCACTGCAGGATCACTTTGATCCCTGCTCTCTCCCATTGCCCAAGCCCCACAGGGCTTAGCAAAAGGAGGGCGAAATGGATCAAAGCAATCCTGCGACTGCATGATTGTTTGGATCCCTTCCTCCCTTATACAGCCATGGGATTGCTTTGATCCTTTACCCCTCCTTTTGCTAACCCCCAAAGGACTTAGTAAGCAGCGGGGCAAGCAAGGATCAAAGCCATCCTGCAACACTTTGATCCCTGCTTTCCTTTTGCTAAGGCTTAGCAAGTGGAGGGGAAAACAGGGATCAAAGCCCTGCAGGATCACTTTGATCCCTGCTTTCCCCTCCACTTGTTTTTATCTCCTTAGCTTACTCCCGTGTATAAGACAACCCTAAATTTTTAGTCTAAAGATTTTAGACAAAAGTATAGTCTTATACATGGAAAAATACTGTAGATGCTGTAATCCTTTACAGCATCTACAGCGGCTTTGCCCAATGTACAGTGGTGCCCTGCATAGCAACGATAATCCCTTCCGAAAAAATCGTCGCTATCGGATTCATTGCTATGTGGGATAATCCGTTCCAAAAAAATCGTCGCTATCGGATTCATCGCTATGCAGGAAAAAACCCATAGGAATGCATTAAAACGCATTTGATGCGTTCCTATGGGGAAAAAACTCACCGCTATGCGGAAAGCCTCCATCCGGCCGCCATTTTCGCTGCCCGGTAAGTGAGGAAAGGGCGCGAAAACACTGCAGGTGGCCATTTTGTTTACCTGGTGGCCATTTTGGAGCCACCGATCAGCTGTTTTAAAAACTTCGTTATGCGATAATCGGTAAGCAAAACGCTTAACGATCATCGCAAAGCGATGTTTACCCGTTGAAAACATTGTTATGCGATCGCTTTTGTGATCGTAAAAACCTCATCGCTAGGCAGATCCATCGTTAAACGGTGCGCTCGTTAAGCGAGGCACCACTGTATTGCCTTGCAAATGTTTTGAACTCAGATTAGGCATCCTTCAATCTCGAGAAACTATGGTAACGTGCTCTGAATAGAGGTCTTGGAGCAGTGTCTAGTGTGGCTGAGAAGGCCAATTCAAGAGCGACAATCCCTTCCACACTGAAAACAAATCCAATCTGTCCCCTGTCCAGCTCCCTGATTTTGCTGGTTAAGGGATTGCCTCTTAGCCTGCTGAACAAGTGTCTCTTCAAAATGGGAGAGGCCATGATGCACCACCTGCCTCCAGGCTGAATGCTCAGATGTCAAAGTTTTCCATCTGTTGAGATCCATTCCTAAAGCCTTCAGATCCTGCTTGCAGATATCCTTGTATCACAGCTGTGGTCTCCCTTTGGGGCACTTTCCCTGCCCTAATTCTCCATACAGGAGATCTTTT